AGGGTGACTAGGCCATAGTCAACCACGCTGGCCCACTGCGGGTTTGTCGACTTCACACATATCTTTTAATTTCTTTCTCTGATATGTGCAGCTTGCATCAAGATGTTTTCCTTCACCGTAAGAACGCCGGATAAATTATGTACATATAAAAATTCGAAAAATTGAAAATCACATTGGTACATGGTGGGATTCGAACCAAAAACCTGTAGATTACTACTTAAGTGCTTAAACCACTGAGCTACCAACGATACATAGCAATAAATACAATAAAATGATGTTTATAACATAACATAGCATGTATACAAATGTATAAGTTACTTACAATATGCACTGGCATGACCCATCCAGCCAGCGCCCCTACACCAGGGAAGCAGGCCTTTGCCCCTCGTAGTCCATGCAGCCCGGTGCTTGGCTGAACTGATGGAAGACTGCCCTTCCTCACCACAGCTACTGAATATTGGTATGGTTCACCATTACCATATAACTAGAAAAAATCACAAATACATTAAAAACACAATAATTTCTTGCAGAATTAATCTTAATAATATTACAAATTGCCAAGTATGAATGGATTCATTAGAAGGTATCTCCAAATGGATTTAAAGGAAATGGCACAGGTGTACAACATAGTCTGGAGAACACATAGTCTACTGAACATATTTTTATTTTGGAAAGTACTATGTTTAGGTCAAAAGCTAGTTGGTTATAAATTATCTGGCAAAGTAAAAAATGTTTAGATAAATCATTTCAACTTTGCTTCAGTTAACATATTAAGAACCTAGTGATTTATATCTTAGAAATGCTAGTCTATTCTATAAAGGTTGATGTTTTTTTCATAATGTTTCTAAATTTATAAAATTAAACCCATATTAATTAAAGTATAATACCTCTTGTGCTATTGGTACAAGGGAATGATATCTGCCAGCAATATAAACTTCGCCAGCATCTAAAGCTAAGAGAGTAGCTTCTCCTTGGTCTACAGATATCATACAGTCTTCTGTGTCAAAAGCCTGGAAACGAAATTTAAAAAATTTAAAAATGTCTGAATTTTGAAATATATTAAATTGTAGAAACTTTGTACTGCATCTCGCATTGTTCTAATTATAAATAACTGCAAACTAGGCTGTTTGATTTCTCTATTTTTCCACAATACAGGGTATACAATTGACCTTCTATACCATTGATGGTACTGGATCAAACAAGGTTCTATTAAAAACTTTAAATACTGATGAAAAATTAGTTTTCATCATCTTACCCTTTTACATGCAATTTCTCTATAATCATCACCAAATAGGCCCTTATCCTGCATAACCGCTTTGGCGAGTTTCTCACATTTTTCCTGTTCTAGGTCAGATGTGGTACACCATGTAACAAGTTCTCGATTTTTTTCTTTTTCTTTTTGTAATAAAACTTGAGATAAATTGTCATTGTTGTAGTAGGCTTCTGCAAAACCTGAAAGATTAAGTATTAAACATTTTAGAAACAAATCGACCGTCTTTAATTGAATATAAGTTGATTCAAAGCTATCTCGATTTTAGAAGTTTTACAGTTAATATTATAATTTCAAACAGGAGTTTATTTGTAAATTATAAAAGCACACGAATTTAGTGGATATTTAACTTGCCTATTAACAGTATTATTACTAAACTATACGTAGGTGCCATTTTATTCATTTTTACCACTTTTTACATTACTTTTGTAAATTGAATCTTTCTAATTAATACTAAACTAACTTATACAAACTAATATTAAAATGACACACCCAAAAACAATTCAATTCGGTATTTTGAAGTTTGCAAGACGCAAGTCTAAAGTAGTCATAGACTCACAGAGTCATAATTTAAACGGTTTAAGAAGCTTTGGAATTATAGACAACAAACTGAAGAATTAAATTAGGTTAATACTTGGCCTTCTTAGATCTTGACGTGCATGATGCGTTTTTAGTAGGCTTAAGTCGCAAATAAAACCATAATTAAAAAATAATTTATTTGGGTATACGATCATAAAACGGAATAGGATAGAAACGTCAAATAATTTTGGTTTTCTGACAATTAAAAATTTTTTGACATTCTTTTCCATCGTTTTATTTTTATTTACTCTATGTCGTCATATGTTTAGCGCACACGTGTTTATGTAAAAAAATCTGGGGCGCTACGTTTTTAGTTAGTATACAAAATAATCTGTTAAATCCTAGTTTTCATATGTATCACATAATTTTTATACATTCTGTAATTAATTCTCTATCTCAGGTTTGATCGGACTATCTTTTTACGAAAGAGAAACTAATAGAAGAGATGGTAGTGTTTACCTGTGGACATTGCGGCGAATCGGTACAAAAACCAAAAGTAGAAAAGCATTATCTCACACAATGTAGGAACCGTACTCCTAACTTGTCCTGTATGGATTGCTTTAAGGACTTTTTGTGAGTATTTTCATTCATATTTCCATCTACTTGATATGCAGTTGATCTAACTTATTTACATGTTTTAAATCGTTTTTGCCATTTTCTAAACAGAAATATCATGTTAAGGCTGCATGGCTAAGTACAATGTACATACAAAGTTCGAAAATCAGGCGATATGTGAAAACAAATGATAACTTTCCTACATTTATGTGCTTCATATGGCATAGTTATTTGATTAATAAATATTAATAATTAATATGACAATATTGATAATCTCAGCACAGTACATTTATAACAATATTGTCAAGATACTAAAAAATGAAAAATAATTTAAAATCAATCTGAAAAGTGAAATTACAGCTAAGCTAGAAAACATTTTTTATGGATACAATAAATGTATAAACCATAACTTCCTTTTTGCACAGATTTAGTACTGTTAAACCATTTTTAGTAAGACGGAGCAACCAAACTCAGCAAGCAAAGCAGTAAATTTTGGATTGCGTCTAGTTTATGTTGTGCATAAAGAATGTATTTAGATGATCCTTTTCTCATCTTTCATTCCTTATTTATGTAATCTTTTGCTTTCAACATAATATAAAGTAAATTTTATTTATTTTTCAGAGGCAATGATTATGAGGCTCATATCAAATGTATTACTGAGGAGGAAAGATATTCCGGGAAAGGTTTTACAGCAAAAGAGAAGAAAGGTGAGAAAAAACAAAATGCATGGGTTGAGATGTTACAATCCGTGTTAGACGAGACTGAAACTAAATCTCCTAATGTACTTAGAATTATTGAAACTATTAGTAAACACAACAATACTCCAAGGAAGAAGCCAAAATTCGTTAATTTTGTTAAAAATGTCTGCGGTCAAAAAACGAATCCAAAAGATATTGATCAAGCATGGGATCTGATATCAGTTAAGCTGGCAGCTTTATCACAAGTTAATGGTAATAGGAATAGTAAAGAGAGTGTGAATGCTGAAAGTAGTGGAAAATCTGTTGAAAAGTCAAATGGAAATTCTGATAGCAAGCCAAATGGAAATTCTGATGATAATGTGAAGAATGGTGATGAAGTTGGAGAAACTAAAGATGAAGAGAATGGTACAGCTGAAAATGATGTGCCAAAAGCAAATGGTAATGGCGATGTCCCTGATAAGAAGTTATCTAAGAAGCAGCGTAAAGAAGAAAAGAAAAAGAAGAAGTATGAAGCTGAGTTACAGGATGCTGAACAGCCTTCTGAAGAAGTTGATGAACTTCAATCAAAAAAGAAAGGAAAAAAGAACAAAAATAAGGAGGCTAAAACAAATGGTACAGATGAAGCAGAAGATGATGGTACTGAAGGAAAGAATAAAAAAAAGAGGAAACGTCAGGATACGGTTAATACAATACCTGAAGTTGTTGACAGTGAAAATGCGATTGAAAATTCAAGTAAAGTAAAAGTACAACAGAAGAAAAAAAGGGTTGATCCAGAAGAAGACAGTGTTACATTGCATGATCAAAATGTAGCTAAAAATGATGAACAAACAAAAAATGAGAGTTTCAATTGGCATGCTGTTATTGTGTCTGTTCTACAGAAGAAAGATAATGAAGTACCTTTCAAAAGGCTGCAAAAGAAAGTTCTTTCGGAATATTCGGAAATTACTGGCAATGACGTCGATGATAGGATTGCAGAGAAATTTATAAAGAAACTGAAAAGCGCTCCAAATGTTAGAGTTGATAAAAATAGAGTTGTTCTCGTACAAGATAATGATGATTAGGTATATTTTACACTCTTGTATCTCAAGAAAATACTTGTTTTATCATAATAAGAATATTACCTATAGCATTTTATTCTAATTTTACTATTTCTATCAAGTGTATCTAAGTAAAAATAATAAATCTTTCAAATTTCGTTTTTATTTATTAGCTGTCGCCCGCGACGCCATAGCGCTAAATTAAAAAAAAACTTAGTAGCTTATATGTTCTTCCAGGCAATATGCTCCATCTAATCAAATTTCATAAAGATCTGTTCAGTAGTTTAGGCACCAGCTAACAGTTGAACACCCAGAAGTTAAATTTGGATTTATGTTTGAGATCTTTGATTTTTTTTAAAGAAAAGCCACACGATAGATTATTCACTTCTTTATAAATGTACATCAATTCTGTTATACTCTATAATTTGCGTCGTATCATACTATAATTTACGTTGGAACTATTGTCTATAATTTTTATCCAATTTCAATGCACAATTGCATGAGACTATGTTTAATCATTGGTTTTACATATTTTATACAAATAATACCAACGGTGTCTATAATTGTTTGCTACGTTCTGAAAAACATTTTATATAAATATACATGTAACTTGATTAGTTTTATTACGTAAACTTGCAGTAATAAGATACTGAAAAAAATTACAGCATTTACAGTAACAGTAAAGAAATCATATTAATATTAGCCCTTCGATTGGATCTTAAAAAATATTTAAAACACAGTTTTCTAATTAAAATTATTCCTTTCAACCCTTTGTGATTTTTTATCTGTGAAATGAAATTGAAAAAAATCCGTTCTTTAATTCTTCAAGTCAGCTCGGATTTTCTCTTTACTAATTTTACAGTGGAAAGATTTGTATTTTTGTGTGTATTGAGATAACTCAAATACTACTAGGCCTATTCAATTCTTGCATCATTAGAAAGCTACGTTATCGCTGAGTAACACAGTTTTTTTTTTATTATTTTTTAATGTCACGCGGGCGAAGTCGTTGAGGAAAGTTAGTAAGAAATAAAATAAAAGTATACTATTTAAAATGTCTTATTATAGGTATTTAGTACCTCCATGTCATTGATTGTGTTACAAAGACGCTAGCTACCATTCACATAAGACATTCCAGTTCTATTAATCGAACGAAAATGGCGGACAATACAATAAATGCAGAGTTTTTGAAACAATACAATGTTTCTTTGCGATATATAAATTGTATTGGTTACGATGTATTCGATAGATATAATCCTGTTATTATGAAAACTTTGTACATTTTTGAAATAATAATTCTGATACTATGGTCGGGATCACATATGGCCTTTTTATTGACGTCCATCTATAATGATGCGGATATAATAGATTTATCACTCGAAGTGTCTTTATGTTTGGCAGCTGCTGAAGGTAACAAATAATTATTGGCCAATTGGTTATTTTTATAACACTCTCTACTCTTCTTCTTATTGTCCTATGACCTTGAAGTGGGGGAGTGTGAGTCCACAGTGGGCCGTTATCTTGCTCTATATCCTGGGCACTGCGTTTTGTCTCGAGCGATAACAGCCCGATTGCTTTCATGTCGGTCGCCAATGAACGTCACCAAGTATACCTCGGCAGTGTCGTGTCAAAGTCTGGAGGTACAGACGACGATATCACCTCTAGAATAGCCGAAGTTAGAGCCGCCTTCGCACAACTTCGTCCTTCGTCCTATATGGCAGTCTTTTGTAACATACGCATTTTTTTTTCTGTACACAATAGTTATCTCTGCCTTTTTAGGATGGGTTCTACATCCTATTTTCTACTTTGGTAAGCATCGTATAAAGAGCTGTTTGCTTAAAATAAGCGAACAATGGCGTAACGATAGTGACTTGGACCAAGATTTGATTATTATCAAGAAAAAGGAATTGAAAGCTATTTACTCCTTTAAATATAGTGAGTTAACTTAAATTGTTTACATTTTTTTTCATAATTATTCTAGAATAGCGTGTCATTTAAGCGATATAATTCGATTAAAAATTCACTAATCAACGTATTGCAAAAAGCTTCGGGTTAACGGAAGATAAAGTACTCGTGTATTAAATAAACCACTTCGAATTTGTACTTTCGTTGTAGTTTTTCAGATATTTGGTGATTTTTACAGAATTAGGCACATTTTAAAAAATAAATCTATCGAGAAAAGTTTGTCCAATCGTGATTCTGTTACATGAGACTTTAGTTAAAGGACTGGTGTTACACATACTAAAATATCACGAATCAAATCTTCGGAGAAATCCTGTTCTATGCTTCCAAAATTGCGCAATTCTGCTGAACAGCCCCTTAAGTTATTGCAGATATGATGTGTTCAGAAAAAGTTTACTTTTTCTGTACATCTTGTCCCCCGCTATATCGCCTATGGTCATCCTTTCTTTATAAGGCAAGAGAAGATGATCTAGTGATTTTTTGAAGCGATTTTTTACAACTATGTTACTAAACACAAATGCCAAATAAATAAAATAGCTGCAGTTGTCATCCCTTTTTCAGTATATTCAACCATGATAATGGGATTTGCTTTCTTCTATATTTTGGCTTCATTGTTGCAAGTATTGACTATGAAATTTGTACTAAGGAAAGACATCGCCTACGTTACTACATTTCGATTCCTTGTACCCTTTGAATGGGAAAACAACTTCGTTTTATATGTTATGTTATGTGTGGGAGATTTTATATCAGGTACGTTCAATAAAAAATATATAAAAAATAACTAACTGTATGCCCAAAGTATATTGACATATCTTTAACATGATTTTTTTACATTTTGAAAAATTGCGTTTTTGTTTCATTTGTTTTAGTGATGAATCTTACAGCTCTTATAAATATGGGGTTGTTAACATTCACGATCACAATGAGCAATTTAAAAACACTATTTGTTATATTACAACACGAAATTAAAAATTTGTTCGACGCCGGTGATGAATTTAATGAAGAAGAGATGAAGAGATTATTAAAAATACACATTGATTTGTTAAAGTAATTATAATTGTTTAGTTTTACTGATACGAATATCTACGAAACTTCTACGTAGATAGATGTGTTTTAAATTTTTATCACATTTTTGATCAAGATGTTCCTTGTACATCTATCTATTGAAATGAAGACAAGGCAATACAATACAACATACCATGCTATGAAATACATTGGCAAACATGTCAGCAAAAATTTTTGCTAAAATACTTTCTAGGCGCTCACTGTTTTATTGAACATTTTTCAGTTTAATAGAAGATATGAGTAATGCTTTTGGCAATGTATTCGCAGTACATCTTATATTTGTATCTGGTACTATTGCATTCTTTTTTCTTTCTCCAACTGTAAGTATTTTCTACTTAAAATACGTATGTCCTAATTTATTTCTATTTATCATTTTTTCTTTTGTTTAGGTGAACGGAGTGGTAGAAAATTTAAATAATATTGTTGCGTCGACATTAGTGATAGCAAATTTTTATTCTGTCTGTCTATATGGCCAACTTTTGTCAGATTCAGTAAGTTTTAAACACGATCTTTTTCTTAATGACAATTGCACAAAACAATATGTTATTTTTTACCCTTTCAGAGTGTAGATGTTGGTACAAAAATATACGAGAGCAAATGGTACAATCTACCAATTAAATATAAAAAAGTCATGATAACAATTATGCAGAGGTATTTATTAACATCTTGTACAGTTATTATTGTGTTTCCTTGTTTTTTTATTAATAAGTTTTTCAAAATAATGTTGCAGGTCGCTGAAAATTAACTATGTCCAATCGATTAGTCTTACAGAAGTATCCTTGACTATTTTTACTAAGGTGAGATTTACTTGTGTTTTGTTTAAAGAGATAGAATGAGATAATACTATATTCTTGTACGATTTTCGTCTTGCAGTTTGTATGATAGGTTAGGACCTAAAATGTAAAGATTTAGGCGTGGGGTCGATTCAATCAGCTGCTTTTTACGTCCTTTTCTAATGTGTGAAAATTTATTCGTTTTTAATCCCAATAGAGCGTGGGTTTATATACCTATTTACATATGCGTTTTTGTAACTTTTACTTTCAGGTTATGAAAACAACTTGGTCAATTTTATCTCTTACAACATCAGTATTAAACGACGGTTAAAGCTTGGTTATTTATTTATTCAAATTTTTCCAATATATTTTTCAGTGATATTATGTAAAAAAAATCGGTATATTCGTGGATAAGATCTTGTTGCAGGCTCTACTACTGTAAAAAAATAAAAAACACATTAAGGGTTTCCGACTATATGTACGTACAGTGTGAATGTGTTTTTCAAAGTTCTTGTAAATGTGTTTCTGCAGTGAAAATTCAGGGTGACATTAACAAATACAAAAGAACAAGAAACTAAGGACATTATAGCGTTATCAGAAGTCTCAAGTTGTACAACTTTGTGAACACTTATCATTCAACAGCTGTGACTGGCTACAAAGAATATTCTTTTAGTAGTATACAAAATAGATATCTATCTATACTATCAATACTATTATAATAAAGCGTAAACACACACTTCTTTGTTGCCTAAGATGTCGGCAATTACTGAATATTTTTGAATAATACTTTTTTTAACAAAAAGCCCTACACTTACGTCACGCTTTAGGCTATATATTTTCACGACAATTAACTTAGGAGGTAAACTTTTGGTAAATAAAACTTTAAAACTATTGTATGAATGTAATTTAAATTAAAAGTTATAAAACTCTTTTATTATAATAGTATCTACGAACGTTGAATATAAGTCGGTTTTGTACACTTTTGGTAACGTAGCTGTTGAATAAAATTGTTGAAATAGTTAACTATTACTACTACTCTAGTTTTGATAAATAATTATACAAAAAAGGCAACCTGTCTCAAAACAATCACACAGAGTAAATTATAAAATACAGATTAAAAATAAACACAGATAAAATATAATTTTATTTCAACTGCATTTCAGGTATCCGTATGATTTCGAACAACAGTTATGTTTTATTTATTTTAAAATTCAAACGTTAAAACAGAAGTGAACGTAGAATGTCTGTATTATTCCCTGTGGTTGAGAGCACTGTGGTGTTCAGTGACGCGGGAGTTTTAAATTGATGACATCTCTTTCCGACTGATTG